AATTATTAAGGCCCCTATATTAACGCATCACTTCCTGGGCTGCCTGAAGAAAAGCATTCGGTGGCAGACGCTCAAAGCCACACCAGATGGCAGAAAGTTGTTGCAGATTTTCGGGAAAATGCGGCTAGCTCGTTCCCACAAGCTCTGTTTTCCCTCAGGTCAATGTCCCGTTTCTGATTGTTAAGATGCCTTCCTGTAATTTTGAAGAAATGCCCTGAACCCCAAATTCGTCTTTTGCACAATACTCCTCATAACGAAGGGTCCCGGGTCTGGCTTTGCATGATCCGCTTTCGGTTCTGGTACGGTCGCCGGCGCCGGCCGGCAGGGTTGTCCAAGGAAGATCGAGCAAAGCAGTGTTTAGGATTCAGGGTTTTGGGTGTTNNGGTGTTTAGGGTTTAGGATTTAGGGAGATTGGGTTTAGGGTTTGGTGAGAGTTCTGGATGTAGGGTTTGGGATTCAGGATGTACTTAGGGTCTTTTCCCCTGGGGGTGTGTCTGTGAGCGCTCACGAGATACGCAGATCTGGGCTTCGAAGGCAAGTCCCATGGAACATGCAAGTCCTACTCACGTGTTTTGATAACCTTGGTCCCGTCGCATGAATGCTCGGAACGCCACGCGCAGAACCCACAACAACAAACAAGTCGAGCAACCACTGGAATGCCATCGACGGCGAATCCCCAATTGTATGGAGATGTCGCCACCGTAGAAGAATACTCTAAGCCCCAAAGCTGCAACCCTGCGTTAGTGCCTTACAACAAAGTACGATGACTATAGACCCCAGACCCTATTTACCCTATTTCTAGCCTTACCTGACAGCCCTCTGTACTGGTGATACTAGCCGAGTGATTACAACATCAATGCATCGTTGAACCAGTATCGCTACAGACCTTGCCGGGCTTGTCCGAGTGTGAGTGTCTAAAGTTCCGCCACCCTTAAACCCGTATACGGATACTTGTTGGATCTCTTAGCAGCTGACCTGAACCCCAAATCCCCGAATCCCATACCCCTAACCTTCGGAAGCGCCAAATCTGATCCCGGGCCTCAGCTAGCTGTCGAAGCAATTTAGGCTTCGAGATTCGGGTTAAGGATTTTTAAAGGGATTAGGGTCAGTTAAAGATTATAGATTTCGGGCCCCATGCAAACTGTTCACATCTAGCGTTCGCCAGGACAAAAGTGCAGAGGAAGTGGGTCGAGACCCATGCCGTGCGGGGCATCAGCTGCACGCTTACTACTTGAAATGTTCATTGCTTTCGGCGGTCATCGCAATGTCCGGACTCAGAGCATTCACTCGGGGTGCGGGTTTCGAACTTCCGACCAGCGAATTGTGTCGAGATTTTTGGCAGCACCACGTGTGCCGCCAGACTCTTTTGCTCCGGTGCTCTTGCCGGTAGTCGTTTGGCGTGTCTGGAGAAATTCAATCGGCTTCTGAAATCAGTTCCCCAATGCAGACCCGTGTTCGGGATGTTTAACCCCTGTTTTCCTTTATAAGGGCATTAATTAATCTGGGGATCCCCATGATCATCCCAACAAGAAAGCTGAGGTGGAACACTAGGGATCTACACGAAACATGGGATCTTGGGCCTCAGATCCCCTGAGGCTGGAAGAAGCCTCCAGTAATACCTATAAGCCTAAATCCTACACAACCCACATTACACCTTACAACCCCCAAAGCCCGAAACCCTAATGATGAGGTCTCGGTATTCGCCACGGCGAGTGCTTCGGGCTTCTTGGGCCCAATGGTGCTGGCAAAACGACCACCCTGGCCGTCCTGTGGGGGCCACAGTCTTGGGCGGGTTGAGCGCAGGATTCAGCAAGCTATCAGGAACCCCAAATTACCCTTAAGTCACGGTTTAGGGTCTTGTGGAGTTTCCCGGCTGCTTGCAAGAGTCCTGGATGCAAAAGGGTCTAGGGTTTATTAGTTGAGTTTTTAGGGCCTTCCTAGTTGTCAATTATGGAATTATCAGGGGTAGTTACTAGGGGTGATGGTTGAGGGTTCAGGGTTTAACCGCGAATCGGTCAACGGGAGTACAGCGATGCCTCGCCTAAGCTCCTCGTGGCGTTGGGGGTTATGATGCAAGCGGGGGCAACGAAGCTCCTATCATCCAAGGGTTGCCAAGGAAATGGAGTCAACTAAAGTTGCATAGTGAAGGGGCCTGAGTCATGACCAATGCTATCTTTAGCGGTCATTATTGACGTTATAGCATATAATCGCACCCAAAAAACATGCAAGGCACTATTCTATTTCTAATTATTCAGGCCCCTGTATCAAGGCCCCCCCCCTGATGATTTGGGCTCTCCTCCTTTACTGGTCGGACCGTGCTTCCCGGCGGCGAGACCAAGGCAAGTGATGATTGCATAGATTTCCTAGCATCGTGTTCTTTGCAGATCTAGCAAGAGGGGCTGATAATCCTTGGGCGAATGCCCATCAGCTTGGTAACTGTTGCGCGAAGTTCCTGTAGGTAATTGTTGTTCTAAGGGTCGAGGTCGATCAAGAGTATTGAAGGTTTATGTTTCCCGGATGTGGACTGCGGGCTGGCGTTGCTGAAATCACATGCTGAGTCTCTGCGTTTGTAAGGTACAGACACTGACTTCTATAAGTGTGTAGTTCACATCGCTGAGGAACAGGACATACACCGTGTCTTTTTTTCGTGTTTTTCCGGGACCGCTAAGAACTCGTGCAGCCTGGTTTTGGGCATGTCTGGATATCTAGGTTTGCAGGATCTTGCAGGTCTCCTTTCAACAGAAAACGACGTGCGTCTTTTCCTGCTGACTGCATCTAATTAGGGGGTCACCCCAACACAATAAGGAACTTCCGATGTAACAGCTTGCCACGGGCTCGAAGCCAGGGGTTCGTTGCTTCCTGGGAGTAGCTCATTACGGCCCACAGCATGGTTTGTCAAAGCAGTAGCGACACACTTCCGTGGGAACCCGCGATCAGACTGACCAGGGCAGCCAGACTGACGTTAGAATCTAGCCCACCTGAAACCCCTCACAGTTAATCCGAGTCAACCGCTCTGCTTCCCTGCCTGGCCTGGCAGGTCCCATCTTGCACCCTCAGCCCTAAACCTTAAACCCCAAGCCAAAAAATCAATCCGAAAATTTGGAAGAAGACAGAAAATTCAGCAAATTCTCTAAGCCTCAACACGCTCGAGCCTTTGAGTTCGAAGGCGTAGGGGCCGCTCTTCGCCGTCGGGTTCAGACTTGAAGGTATAATAATATGATGTATAGTAATATGGCATATGGGAATGAATATATAGATATATACATTGATACATATACTGCTATAGAAAAGCCAAATATATTCTACTCCAGTACAACATGTACAGGAGATTCGGTGTTATAGCGTGCACAAGCTCGAAGCTTTATGAAGCAGCAGGCTTTAACCTATGATGAAATATATGGCAAAATATAAGGCTTCCGAAGCTGCAGCAAAGCAATATGGGCTTTCGCACTGACCTGCTCGTCGTGTCGTGGTTGTAGAGTTTAGGATCTTAGAATTTGCTGCAGCCGCCATGGCAGACAACACTATGCTGGCAGCCACGGTGGACATGCTGCGTGGAAGTGCGGAGAGCAGGTCCTGGCAGGAGCCCAAACCTTCATTATCAATCCACGCCAACAACGATAACAATCACCTGACCCCTACCCCCGCATCTGTATAGCGAAGATGTCGTATGTTCTCAACATGCTCACATACTTTAGGCTTCAGGTCCTTTTGCCGAGCAAACTGCAGGCTCTCCAAGAAAGATTTCGTGAAGAGTCCACAATCAAGGTGGCTGTTTCCTGTCTTGCTCCGGCTCGTTGCCTGCTTGTTCGAGTGCGAGGGCCAGAGTGGCCAAAGAAAGGGGCGGTTTAAGTAGGAAGAAAGAAAGCGAAGATTCGGGCTAGCTGCCATTTCGATCCGGCTCTTTTCGGAGAAAGCTAAGACTCCTGAACTCGAGATAGCCACCACGCAAGCCAGAAATGCGACCCGACCCTAGAAAATGCACAGCTCCTAAGAGCAGCCATAGTCCAATAATAGTCCATAGTGAAGACTTATGAAAGCCGAAGACGCGATTTTTGAGAGCTCCTCCACACACGCGGCGCCCCGGCCTCAAGGCCTCTCGCAGAAGGACCATGCAACCCAAACCTGTTTAGGGTTTAGGCCAGAGGGCTGCTTTACGAGTCCTTTTGTAATCCTTAGAAGCGCAAATCTCACGTGGAACCCCAAGAACACGGAAGCAAAAGCACAAAATCAAGCTTCTAAGCACTCCAGCAAAAGCTCATAACACGAGGCCCGCGCCGTGATGGAACACGATATGGGGCTAATATAGGGGGCTCAACATCTCTAGGCTACTACACGAAACCACGTAACCACGTTGTGATGGCAACGCCCTTATACTCGGGGCTTGGATTGGGGCCCAGGGAGCAACGTGAGGATATTCAGTCAGGATGGGAGGTTGTGTGTCGATTAAAAGAATTTCCTACCCAAGCCTGAACAGATGGTTGCGACCCCACTACCGCCGGTTAAGATCTTTAGGTTTGCGTAGGCGGAGATGAAGAGGTTTCAATTGAATCTATTCCTAGGTCCTAGACTGGACAAGCACTTACATGTAGACTGTAGAATATTGTGCAATGGGTCACTGTGCAATGGGGTTGTCACATTTAAAGGCCCACAGATACGAATTAGCCTGATTTTTCATGCACGGGTAGCTGGGCTTGTAGGTAGGACCAAGTAGTAAGTAGGACATCTTGTTGTGAATCAATTACTGGCGCACCACGCAATTGATTCCTCTAAGGGTTACTTTACTCGACGTTGGGATCCAATTGAATGCAGCTATCTGCTCAGTGTAGGAGCTAATCACGGGTTCCCCCATGCAACAAGCAGAGGGCTGCGATCATTGTAGCATCCGTCAACAGAGAACCTATAAACGACGAGAAAGCTCGGTTTTGGACCAGAACCCGTGCAGACCTGCTTGACAGGGCTGTGGAAGAAGTTGTTATCCACTTTGTTTGGATGGGTCTAAACCTTAAACATCCTTAAACACCTTACGCCCAAAGCCCTGAACCCTGACTTGTGCGAGTCGTGAGAGTCGGAGCCAGAAGCCAGGAGAACAACGAAGACATGGCCTCCTTCGTTCAGGAGGACGAGGGCATGTCTCCCTGCTTCAGCGAGGCAGCCCAAGGGAGCCTCAGTTTGGGCTTGGGGTGTAGGCTATGACATCGGGTTGAGGGTTTCGGGTGTAGGAGGTTTTTACACCGTGTCGAAGGGTTCAGAGTTGTACCATGCAGAGAGCCCTAAACCCCAGAATGGCAAACGCGACCTCAGGGTGCTTTTCTTGTGCTCGCTCTTGTCTCCCTAAACTTAAAACCTACAATGCTTACCCGTTTTCCAGGTGGCTGCGCAAGATGCACTTCCAGCATGGCTTGAAGTTGAGGGTTTATAAGGGCTTATACGGTTTAATAGTAGTTCCGATGCTTTCGAGTGTCTGGTGTGTAGGACAGCTGCAAAGAGACCACGCGCTGGAAGTCTCTTGCAGGTTACCTGAAACTTAGCCAAGCTATGCCTCTGATGCACTTGCATTCAGACATGGCGTTTGGGGGCCTAAAGTCTCACTCCCCAGCAACATAAATACGAATGAATCCACAATCCTTCAAGCCACACCCCGTCAAAAACCCATTCAGATCTCAGGCGTTTGAGGTGGGATTCTGGGCTTCAGGTACAGGTTGGACGGGGATCAGGGGCTTGAAGGCCCAGGGTGTGCTGAGAAATGCTAGGGCAGCCTCCGGTTATGCGTGATCGTGGTTAAGAGGAAGTTGCCCCCTGTCGAGATGCTATGACGAAGCCCCACAGGCTCCTGTCACAGAAATCTTTGGACTGTGAAAAGCCATCCGACACATCCATCTTGCAGATCGAAGAGAAACGATAGCAAGCCACATAGGTTGTACCTTACCCCTCAACCCTAAACCATCCCCGTCCTGAGCCGGGCCGCCTTGCATCCGAAAAGTAAAGCAAACCCTCAGCAACTCTTGTCAAAGCTCCGGCTAGATTATCTCAGATCCGAAAAACCAAAGCTCTGACCAGGTTCCCTCAGACTTTCAATCGAACCTGCTCATGCGAACGCTTTGCCCTGCTTCTTTGCCTTTTCGGGATCGGCTGGCCCGGGCGACGCCTGCGCGAGACGTCCAGAGCCTTCTGTCTCCGTCTAGCCCTAAACCTTAAGGGTTCGGGTGTAGGGCGTAGAGATTGAAGTCTTTTCCATTGTCGGGCCATAGCCTTTGAGAGTTTGTCTTGTGCTGTTTTGGGGGCGCCTGCAGTACATTAATATCATCCTAAATCCTAAACCAGCAGAAGACGGTGGGAGACTGGTTTCCACAGTCAAGGAGGGGGCAATCCTACACTCTCGACCCAACAAGCCCTGAACCTGAAACCCTCCTCAACTCATGTAGAATCTAAGCCGAAGCCCAGTTTGCCGAGCCTCAACCAAGAAGCCTTTCGATGATATGGCGGTCTGAATGACTAGGAATATCACTCCTTACGGTTCCTTAATATAAATAGTTTTCATAGCACAATGGTCTCATTTGTGGGGCACCTTTCTTCAAAACCCTAAGTTCTAAACCCCCAACCCTGGCGACTATCAATTCCATGGCCTAAGAGCATCTTCTGCATTGTTCTGGGCGTTTTCGTTGGTATCATGGCACCCAGAGGGTCCACGTACCAATATAGCAGGTTCTTAGATAGTTCGACCCTCAAAGCATACTAGACTATACTAGACGTGAAGATTTGGGATCATGCTTGTGTTTCTTTGCAACAGTTGATGGCGCTGGCTGCAGCATTTGCTTCGCTACGGGCTTGGAGCTAATGCTTTGCCGGAAGATGGTTCGGAGCTTCGCTTGTTTTCTTATGTGTGGGTGGGAGGAACGGAAGGGGGCCGGGCTTGTTACTGGTCCAATCTGCGGAATAGTTTAGCGCATCGTCTGTTATGTCTTCAGATCGATGCCAAACTGCCCCAACCCCTCAGGAACCAGCGAAACAAGCCCCACAAACCGAGCCTGCATGCAAGCGGTACTTTGGAGCTTAATATACGGATAGGTCCACGGCCACAAGAACCTTAAGCTCCCGGCACTTTTTCACGATTGTTGGCAGTAGCGGCACCAAACCTGCAATGGAGCACCATGGGCTTCATTTTGCCATTGCCCCAAATCCCAAAGACCCAAAGACCTTGGATAGGCCCAGAGTCTAGAGGTTCATGAACCTCGTTTGTGTATCCGAGGTGAGTGCATATCCGGCCCTATGAAGCGTCAAATTACTGCAAAAGCAAGGTCCATGTTGAGAGTTTGAACTGACGCGACGAAGTCGCGAAGCGTCTGTACTGTGCAACACCGGAGGCCAAGAACACCGTTTGAGTCCGAACTCAAGCTATCGTCGACAACGACTCAGTTTAACCCAAGTATTTTTCGGGCGGGGAAACTAGAGATGACTCCCTGAACGCTGAAACCTCCTAAACCCGAAACCGAAACCCCTCGTCGTGTGCTCCGTGTTCCTTGGAAATTGTTGAAAGGCCCACTGGACTGGACTGCGCTAGCGGCTGCAGAGACGACGGAGGCCCTGGCACGGGATGCGGAGGACTCGGATTGCAAGACCGGCCCGTGATGGGGACAAATCAGGGCTTTGGGCTTCTTCGGCCTTGATTTAAGAGGACAGTTGAGGGTTACCCTAAACCCTAAACCCTAAACCCTAATTGAGGGTTCAGGGTTTGGGGTTGGCGGACGGGTTAGCGATTTTACCATAAGTTAAGAAGACTTTGGGCTTTCCCGCGCTTTGAAATCTCAACCCTCCAGATTCCCAGCACTGCACCCCAACCGCTACCGTACTTTCCTACCCCTACAGTAGCCCTAAATCCTAAAACTTATAGACCTTAAGTTCGAGCCTGCAGACCCGGGAGGATGAGTCGGCAGGGAAGGTCGAGATCAACAGTGGTGGCCAGGTGTTCTTTGGCCTGCTCTCTTCAACCGACGGAGAGCAGGCTCAGAAAAATGTCTCCGATTGTGACTTAAGGGGGCTTGTCGCCGCTGTGGCTGCTCAGTTACTTAGGTTGACGCATGTTCATGCGCGCATGTGTGGTTGCCTGTGTGTGCTTGTGTGACTCTCTGTGTTGCTTTGTCGTTCGTGTGTGTTTTGTTGCCTGTGTCCATCTCTGTGTGTCCGTGTTTTTGTCATGTCGTGTGGTAGCTGTGGGGTATCTATTGGTGGGCTTACTTGCCAGGACGATGAGGTTGCGACAGGTATGTACAGGGTATTGGATGGTTGACTCCTGCCAGTAGACGAAAGGGAAGGACTGGGAGGGTCCAGAGATCACTTCAGGCCCATTCCAGTCCCTGGCAACCCCCCCCACGACGGCATGAGGCAGCTTTTCATCGTCCTTTGGGTTTCTCACACAACGGCTGCCCGATTCCTGTAGCAGCCTCCCCGAGTGGTATTGTTTGTACAGACATACATACATACATACATTCATACATATACATTCCCACATACACGTAAGTGTGCGTGTGTGTGTGTCATTGTCAAAACTGACTGATATGTCGTCGCACAGCTTTTCCACGACCAGACCAGTAGCAGCAGCAAGCTGCTGCAGCTCGGGACACCGTGCAATTCGGTTGCCGGTTCTGTCGATCTACTTGAATTGGGCGGTGCTTGTTGTGGGCCCTGGGAGAGGCTTTCCCAATCTCAGTCACTCATGTGGTTCTCATGCACTCACATTCACTCTCACAGTCACTCCCACTCACTCTCGCTGACGCTTACTCACACTCACCGACACATAGTCACTGACATTCAGCGATGCTCGCTCAGTCTCACTCTCTTTCTCACTGGGCAACCACGGAACAATGCGTATAAAACCAATCAGCTAGCTAGCATAAAAATGCATACGTACAACAACTGAGTAACGAAACGGCCAGCCAGCAAGCCAGCCAGACACGACCAACCAACTACCAAGTTCTGCTGTCACCACCCAGACTGCATGACATCATTATGGAGAGCAGCACTACTACGACTGCTGCTACTACCACTACTACTACTACTACTACTACTACTACTACTACTACTGCTACTACTACTACTACTACTACTACTACCACTACCACTACCACTACGACTACCACTACCACTACCAATACCACTACCACTACCACTATCACTACCACTACCACTACTACTACTATTACTACTACTACTACTACTACTACTACTACTACTACTACTGACTAGTACTACTACTACTACCTACTACTAC